AGGAGTGGGGCGTGTTGTGTTGGGGTGGGGAATTCGGTTTGGTATGGGGGAAAAACTGCCGCGAATCAATCAACACTCGAGATGTTTGAGACCGTTGGATCAGGGTTTGCCATCCACGTCTAGCGGTTCTCGTCGTCCGGATCAAGTTGTTGGCTGAGAAGCAGTCGGACGATCTCCTCGCGTTTTTTGCGACGTAGGCGAGCGGATTCTGATGCGACGCAATATTTTTCCTGCTTGTCCTCGAAAGGGGACTGAAACCCCCATGTGCGCGATGATGTCAGCAGCGAAACTGATTGTATGCATGTGGTCAGAAAAGGCCGCAGCTTGCCAGCGCGACGGACTCTGGATTAGCCGTGACCGCGAACAACGTGGCGCCTCACAACGCTGCATGGCCAATAGAGGATTGCTTCCCCGTTACACGCTACTCTATCCATCCAATTTCAAGCCGGAACTACGGAACACTCGATTCTCCAACCGTAAATGGGATACATACGGATATTTTGAAATTAAGGGAGCCGTGCATATCATCTCCCTTGATGGAGAATTACGGCTAATGGATGGATCAATTTGGAAATATACAAAACTCTCATTAAAAAAAATATTGTAATCCTGTCATCAATCTTGGCACCAAATTTATTCTTTACTCGTATACACAAGTGTGATAAATTGGTGCTGTGCTCATGTTATTGTACGTCTGTGCCCATCTACACCACGGAGGTACGACCAGAAGCGGATCGTACAGTATGCGGAGCAGACACGCTGGCACGCATCCCTTTCCTCCCGGTCACCTGTCTTGCTTGTCCTGCTGCCGTCATTCCTCCCTCACCTCCATTCCCCTCGTACCCCTGAACACTTCCACCTTTCACTGATCCAAAGCGTTTCTCGCGGCCGCCATTTTTCTACCAGCGCTCGAAAAGTGTTCTTTCTCGCACCGTGCGTCTCCTCGCGTCCACCTTGGGCACCCCGTCCCGCGCGCCGTCTCGTCCACCATGCTCGCCGCATCTCCCGCTCCGCCTGCCGCACTAGCGGGCGGCCTTCAGGTACCGTCGGCCCCCCTGACCCCCTCGGCGCCCGCCCGCCGTATTCCACCGCAACGCGGACCGGCGTCCCATCTGCCGCGCCCTCGTCGCCGCATTCCTCCTTTCTTGCGCCGTTTCGCCCATGCGTGTACACCCCCCCTTCCCCCCTCGCGCGCTTCTCGCCTCCGCCTCGCTATGTCGCTCCCGCGCTCCGCTCCATGCGCATCGTCCTCGTCACGCGCTCTTGCTTCCCCCCGCTCTTCCCCAACGCTCCCCGCTCTCCCATTCTCCTCCCCCCCCCTTCCTCAACCCCACACAAACCCTTCGCCTCGCCCCCTCTCGCCTTTCAATGTACTCCCCGCAGCAGGCCGCCTGCCCGCAGCATGCGGGTGCGCGGGGAAGCGCGCGGGCGGGCACAGGCTGGTTGGCGGGCGGAGAGCTGAAAGGCGCGCTCACTCACAGCGCGGCGCACAGCGGACTCTCCGCGCCGTGGTGCCGGAAAGCGCCTCGTGGAGCGGCGAAAGGGGGGGCTGTTGTGTGCTCCGCGGCTGCTAAGCCCGCTTTTGGGCGGCAGATGCTGGTGAGGCGGAGGAGGGGGAGGGCGGGGTCGGGGGCGGGGAAAAGGGGTTGAGGCCGCGGGGGACACGCACGGAAGGGGACAGGAGAGGGAGCAGCATAGGAGCAAGGGGATGCGCATGGTGCGTGTGTGGTGTGGTGTGGTGTGGTGTGGTGTGGTGTGGTGTGGTGTGGTGTGGTGCCGCCCCTCACATGCACGCGCTTGTGCACTCCGCTGCCCACTGCCTCGCTGCGCACCGCCCACATCTCCGTCTACCCGTCCCTATATCTACCGTTGGCTTTCCCCATTCACCCCCCCGGCCTCTGTGTGGCCGCGTGGCGTGTGAGCAGGTGATGGTGCCACCGCACCCGCTGATCAAGCACTGGATCGCCATCCTGCGCAACGCCACCTCGCCGCCCCCCATCTTCCGTCAGTCCCCTCCGCTCCACCCCCGCTCAATGCTGGTCAATGCCAGTCGTTGGTGGTCAATGATAGTCAAGGCCAAAGGCCCAGTCTGTTGGCGTGAGTCATGAATGCGGTTGCCTGTGCTTCAATGGCAACCCCTGCCTTGCCCCCCATGCCTCACATGCTGTCATGCTGTCATGCTGCCGTGCTGTCATGCTGTCATGCTGTCATGCTGTCATGCTGCCGTGCTGTCATGCTGTCATGCTGTCATGCTGTCATGCTGTCATGCTGCCGTGCTGCCGTGCTGTCATGCTGTCATGCTGTCATGCTGTCATGCTGCCGTGCCTCCTCCCCACGTGTCGACCTGCAGGTGCCGCACTGGCCGAGCTTGGTCGCAACATTGCTTATGAAGCAACCCGTGATTGGCTGGTGAGTCCACTGTGGTTGGCTGGTGAGTCCACTGTGGTTGGCTGGTGAGTCAACTGTGGTTGGCTGGTGAGTCAACTGTGGTTGGCTGGTGAGTCCACTGTGGTTGGCTGGTGAGTCAACTGTGGTTGGCTGGTGAGTCAACTGTGGTTGGCTGGTGAGTCAACTGTGGTTGGCTGGTGAGTCAACTGTGGTTGGCTGGTGAGTCAACTGTGGTTGGCTGGTGAGTCAACTGTGGTTGGCTGGTGAGTCAACTGTGGTTGGCTGGTGAGTCAACTGTGGTTGGCTGGTGAGTCAACTGTGGTTGGCTGGTGAGTCAACTGTGGTTGGCTGGTGAGTCAACTGTGGTTGGCTGGTGAGTCCACTGTGGTTGGCTGGTGAGTCAACTGTGGTTGGCTGGTGAGTCCACTGTGGTTGGCTGGTGAGTCAACTGTGGTTGGCCGCAACGACTCACTCACCCCCTCCTATGCCAACTCTTCACCTGCTCCCCACCTGCTCCCCACCTGCTCCCCACCTGCTCCCCACCTGCTCCCCACCTGCTCCCCGCCTGCTCCCCAACTCCCCCCCACTGCGCCGGTGGCAGCCCATGATTCAGGGCGAGGTGGCCACGCCCTGCGGCGTAGCTGAGGTGGAGGCTGTCGACCCCACCCAGCCAATTGCAGTGAGCCACGTGGCAGCCCCATGCTGCATGCCTCCCTTGGTGCATGCTTCCCATGTGCATGAGCATGAACGAGCAAGCCACTGTTCTCTGCTGTTCCTTCCTCATGATCACCAACCATGGCGCACTGCCATCGTGTCACAGCTAGTCGGTCATGCGCTCCTCTGCCTTCCATCTCCACTGCCCTCCCTCTCTCCCTCTTCCCTGTTTCCCTCTCTCCTCTTTTTCTCTCTTCTCCTCTCCTCTCCTCTCCTCTCCTCTCCTCTCCTCTCCTCTCCTCTCCTCTCCTCTCCTCTCCTCTCCTCTCCTCATCCCTCCGCGCCCCACCTCGCGTGCGTGCATGCATGCATGGGGGCAGATCATCCCAGTGCTGAGGGCGGGGGCGGTCATGGCAGAGCAGATGGGGCCAGTCATTCCCCACACCATCACCTACCACCTCGGTACTGCCACCTACCACCTCGGTATTGTCACCTACCACCTCGGTACTGCCACCTACCACCTCGGTATTGTCACCTACCACCTCGGTATCGCCTTGATATCATACTGGAGGCAACAGATCCAATTCAGAGTAATCACTGCGCATCACTGTGACGATGCGTTGCGCTGTGCTGCCATGTGGGAGCACTCAAAGCACACACCTCGCTCATGCATCTCACCCCGTACAATGTGGATGTGGGCAGGCTATGTGAGGGATGAGACCACACTCCAGCCAACGCTCTACCTCAACAAGTCAGTGCGCTCTCCCACCCTTCTGCCCGCCACCTGCGCCGCTCTCTTTTTCCCACACTCAGTCCTGCCACCCTTCCGTCCCATTGCCTAAACCAATCACCTCGCCCACATCCTCACTCGTCCTTCACTGACGGACTCACCCACCACGCCTCCCCGCTCCACCCGTCCCTCGCCTCTCCTCGCCTCCCCTTGCCTCTCCTCGCCTCTCCTCGCCTCCCCTTGCCTCTCCTCGCCTCTCCTCGCCTCCCCTTGCCTCTCCTCGCCTCCCCTTGCCTCTCCTCGCCTCTCCTTGCCTCTGCATGTTTCAGCTATCGCTCTCCACGCCTGCAGTCGTGCTTGGAGCTGAAGCATCATAACGTTCCTCCGTCCCTTTACCTTCCCGCTCTCATCCCCTCTCACTGCTCTCATTTTCTTCCCGCTCTCATCCGCTCTCCTTGCCCGGTCGCATCCCTCTCAAAGCTTTCATCCCTCACCCGCGTCACTTGGCTCACCTCCCTCGCCCACCTCGCCCCCCGGCCATGCGCCAGGCTGCCCAAGGCGTTCAACCCCGAGGCGAGGATCATCATCGTCGATGCCATGCTCGCCACCGGTCAGTGGGCCTTGTCGCACCGCATCGCATCGCCACACATGCTCGCACGCGGACACATGCCCCTATACATGTCGACTGCCCGCATACACAGCATGCCCTCCACGCCTTCCACTCTCTCCCACCCCACCCCATTCCACCGCACTGCACCAAATGTGGCCGCAGGTGGCACGATGATGGCGACGATGGAGGAGGTGGTGGGGCGAGGCGCCAACCCCGACAACATCCGCATCGTATGCCCCGCCCCGCCCTCCCCCACCCCTCTCACTCCCCGCCCTCCCACGCCCCTCTCACTCCCATAATATGTTTCACACCTTTCTTGCTGTGTTGCCTTTGTTGCCCTTGTTGCGCTGCATGAACTGCCAAGCATTCCTGTTCCACATGCCATGAACTGCCAAGCATTCCTGTTCGACATGCCATGAACTGCCAAGCATTCCTGTTCCACATGCCATGAACTGCCAAGCATTCCTGTTCCACATGCCATGCCATGCCCTGCCCTGCTGTGTCACAAGCGAGCACCCCACACCACAGAATGTCCCCCTTCATCCCCCCTTCATCCCCCCTTCCCCCTCTTCTCCGCATGTGCCTGACAGATATCGGCCATAGTGGCATCGCCAGCAC